GGTCATCGGGGGAAAAGTAAGGTTTTCATTGAAAGTACTGAGTTCACATCGACTTCCATTTTTCGAAATGACGGATTGACGGTGTTCCCACCGAATTCTCGCTTTCAATCTGGGCGGTTCCACATTTTCAAAGTGATTTTTTGTTTTGCATTCTTGCCATTCTACTTCAAAAGTACCATCCTACTCCTCTCGATCTCTGCTGATAGAGACATGAATTCACGCTTAATCGATTTTCCTCTACTGCAATCATTCACATTTATTTGTAATTGAGATTTAAAGTCAATAATATAACTTCCGAACTTAATAGATTTCTGTTTTGATTGATACGCATGTTTAATAGTTTGATTATCATGATTGGAATAAGGAGTTTACTTTAGTACTAAAGTATTTGAAAATAGATCAGCAGAAGAATTCTAATACCATGTAGCACCTTGTCCCTATAATGTCCATCATGCAGTTTCTCTAAAAAGATATCACATATCAAGAAGTTTTTTATAATATGCATTATGTTTCTCCTCTAAACAAAGAAACATGCTTTTTCTATAGAAGATTCTTAACGATTAAGAAAATTTAATTTTTTTTTACAATAAATTTGAAATTATTATGTATTCTTCTTGATTTTTATATAAACACTTAATTTCAAATGCTTTCTATGGTTTATTATTTCTTTAACACTTTAAAAAAGAACATAAAATTTCACTTTATCGCCTTGCTTTTCTCGCTCTGTTAAAAGCAACTTGTCGTCAAAGAGTAAAAAACAACTAACATTGTCGTCATCTTTCAAAATGTGCGCAAGGAGAAGATATTTCGTGAGGTTTTTTCATAGTATTTTATCAGGATACGAGATAGTCTGATCGTAAGCTAATGTCCTATGCTTGTTATTAGTCACCAAGGTTTTCTTTTGAGCTATGACAAAACGAATCCAAAATCTATGATTATCAGCAGCCAAAAATTTTCTCCATCAACATATGCTCTTTTATTGTGAACCAACTTTCGGCAGATCTTCATCACTAACAAATAGGGAGTTAGCTGAGCTAAGCCTGACCGCCGTTCTCTGTCTACACACTAATAGTTACATAACAAATAGAAAATTGATCCGCGCTTTTATCGTCTCTATCGGATACAAATAGAGATGCTGCAACTCATGTAAAAATTTATATAAATTAAACGATTTAACAAAATTTAATCATATCTTTTTGACCGTGAAAACGCGTTAAAAGCATACTTTTTAACGAAATCTGACAAGTTATTTTAGGTTGATTTCGTTTTAACAAGAAATAACGCGTAAGACTTCGTTAAAAAGTATATTTTTAAAGCGTTTTCATACTCAAAAAGGTAACATTAAATTTTATTAAGCCGTTAAATTTATATAATTTTTTGCATAAGAACCTTTGGGTCGCCCTCTAATTTTGCAAGAGAAGACTAAGTTAAAATCGATTTCTACTGAGCCCATAATAATAAATTTTTTAGCATAAATTGCCTTTTGAATCTCATTTAGGAAGAACGCCAATGGCCTTAGCACGCATCATGAAAGAACTGAAAGATATAAAAGAAGATACACCAGAATATGTTAATGCAGGACCATATTATCCTGACGATATGTTTCGTTGGCAAGCTACAATATTGGGTCCTTCTGGTACTCCTTATCAAGGAGGCGTTTTCTTTCTTGATATAAACTTTCCAGTAGACTATCCAATTAAACGGGCGAAATTTAAATTTACCACGAAAGTATTTCATCCAAATGTATTTCCAAATGGTAATATATGCATGGAAATTCATGGGAATCAACGCACTCTCACAATCTCCAAGCTATTATTATCAATTTGTTCGCTGTTGGACGATCCAAATACCGATGATCCAGCTAATCCTGAAGCTGCACATCTTTATCGATTCGATCGTGATAAATATAATAAAATTGCACGACAATGGGCACGGAAATATGCTATGTGATGTTTCGAGAAAATCTCGGCGGAAAATGTAACTGATTCGGTTATTTTAAGGCTTATTTTTTTTTTGAAATAAACTGTCTATGCCGGTCATTCCAGCCCACGCATCCTGTTGAGGGTTGATGAGCGTGACAACTTTACAGTAGAATTGTGAGAGCGGGGAAGGAGGAAATCACTCTAAAAATCTGGAATCACCCACATTGAAAGCGGGAATACGGCAGGAACTCAGCTTTTTTGAGTCCAATGAGTCCTCGAGAATACCATCATTCGATACAGAATTGAGGGTGGGTGTGGGTAAGGGTGTAGGTATGATTTAACAGTCTTCATACCACACTAATGCTCAACCCACACCCTCACTCGCTCACACCCACACCCACACACTATTATCGTGAAACAACATTGGAAAGAACTTACCCATGGTGTAAATTTCTGCGAAAAAAACGCGTTCTGAAAACGCATTTTTCCATAGCTGCCAAACGCGTTAATGCTGACCGGTTTGACGCGTTTCACATCTGCTGAAACAAACGCTGTGTAACGATTGTTTTTGTGAAAAATTTCGCAGCGTTTCTCAAACTGTGGTGTCGTAAATCCTAAATGGAAAAAAAATTGAAAATCGTCAATGACTTCATAGATCTTGAATTGCAGGTACAATTTATGTATTCGTTTACATTTTTTCATAGGCCTTTAGAACTTTAACTTACATGAATTTTGATGCAGTCAAGACACGGATTCGAACACGAGAACATAGGAGTATAAGACATGTATACAAACCGTTCAACTAAAATAATCTAATGATATAAGTGTTTATTCTACTGTCATTTAGAGTCCCGCGTAAACTTACTAAATTAGATTTTCAGTTTCCATTCCACTGAATTAAAAATTATCATTTCTTTGGTGCCTATGTCCAATTACGAGTGTGGTCTTTTCTTGATACATTTTTTATTTAAACTCTTTCAGATTTAAATTTAGATACACAATAGAAACGAATTTAATCGATTTACACTGTATTTAATATATAAAAAATTAAATTTCTTATATATAAATTTTAAAAAATTTAAAATTTAATCTTTTTTTTATTTTCTTGATTAATAGATTTTTGTAAATGTAAATTCGTCATCGTTTTATCCAATTACATCAATAAATGAAAGGAGTTTTCTTTTGTAAATCGAATCTCTTTTATTAGAAAGTCACTCTTACTTCAACAATGTACAAACTAAAATCATGTTTACTAGTATTGTACACAGTATCATTAGTTATTATCAATTAGTTCGAGTATGAACTCAAACTAATAATTATTCAAATTATAGATAACGCGATAATTCTTTTGTTCACAAGTAACCAAAGAGAGTTGCTATACTAATTATATTAGTATCAGTCTTTACTAAATCTTTTCGAAATGCTCAATATTTAAAACGACCTGTCCACGTAAAACGTGATTCCGTCACGCTTTATTTGTTTTATTTCATACAAATGACTCGATCTCTAGAATCCAATGCATTTGCAATCTTGGACAAAAAATTGTGCTTGTCAAAATGAGACACTGCAAATTTGTCTGTAACTTCTCATTCATTACAAACAAGCGTGACGGAATCATCTCCCTCCGTGGACAAGTCGAAAACAATTCTTAAGTAAACCTTACGAAACACGTTTTCTTTCAATAAAAATGTGGTGAAATGAGTTTTTAAGTAAGAAGAATATATTTTTTGTTACACTTTGATGTTTTACATTAGTCTAACTTCGAATTAGGTCTAGATAACAGCCTAACAGCCTAAAAATTTCCAAGACTTTGATTTTAGTTTTGCCTTCATAAAATCCTAGGTCATGATTTTCACGTACAAAAATAGTGCAAGGAGCAAAACTTTCAAGTGCTATTTCATATCATTTCCAAAGTAATTTTAAAGAATTTACTTTGCTTAACTCCTATGCTTTGTATTGGTGAATTTTTGCAAGATTCTGAATGCAGAATGGATGTATTTTGCATCATTCCAAGCAAAAACAATGCGACACACATTTGAAAAAGAAACGCGTTTTACGTTTCCCCCAATTTGCATTTGTGGAACGCGTTGCCTGTCGACAAAAGTGCGTTCGACAGCATTTTAATTCGGAAACGCCTCGAAACGCAATCTTGAAAAAAAGCGTTTCGAATCGTTTCAAAAAACGACTGTGGCAAAACGCATTTTATGTAAGTAAGAATGCTGCGAAACGCGTCCTATATTGCAAAAACGTTGCGAAACGCATGCTACAATCTCGGAAACGCGTTACGCAGTCCGTTTCCTTCAATATTTTACTCCATGGGTTAGTCACACAGCATGTTCCTTGAAAAGTACGTGTTATCAATGCTAACGATGGCATAATACTATCTTATAAACATGCTTATTAGATTCGATTGATTCTCGGTAACAATGTAAAATATATTCATTTGAAAATATTATTTTGTCAAGAAATCTCAGAGTGTTCATTTACTAAGGACTCCTGACAGCTGGGAAAATACTTGAAGCATACACAACAAATGAAACTCTATCGAATGTAAGACTTAAAATTTCACCATACTGACTTGTATTTTTTTTTCGATTTTTTTTTCTTCAAACCATACATCATCTCTATGTATCATATTTATTATACAACAACTGCTTTTTTCGTGTCTTCTAAAAAGACTTATGTACGGTATACATTCTGACATTTTTTCTTCCTTCGTCTCGTCCTGAAAAAGAAATATTTTGTACTATCACATATCTGTTTGGATAGATAGAGCCATTAACACATGGATAAAGCACATTTTCATCGAGTTTTTGTTTCACATTAGCTACGACTTATTAGTAATGAATGGTCATTTGTCTGTTGTTGATCGATAGTGAATTATTTCGTTAAGTTTAGATCAAGGTATATGATATTGAATCAACTAGCTCCTGTTATTAATTGTTTAATTGTAACTGTTGTTAATATTTTACGATTGTTTCGCGAAACAAATAATGTTATGGAACGTAGATATATATATTTTTTGAATTCATTATGATCTTATCAGTCAAGAATATTGAAATTCGTTTTTTATACTCTTTATAGCTTCGTCAATATGACTTTTTCTTTTACATGAAGTGCATTCACGTCTAGTAATGATTGTTCAACAATATTTCTATCATGTACATCAGGTTCAAGTTGTTGTTCAATTTCTTCATCCATTTCAGCATTAGTATCTATCGTCTCGTTTGAATCCTAAAAGCAAAAAAATAAAGAATCGAACTATCTTGCTTTGGCATTAATTATTTACTTCAAGTTTTTTCATGAGTACAGCAACAAGAACATTGATCAGTACAAATTGAGCCATAAGAATGAAAACAGAAAAATAGATAGGTGAAATTACTGTCATAAAGCGTTTTTTGTTAGCCTGACGTGAATCATTTTGACGTAAAGTATCCTTTAAAATAATATTTAGGATTTAAAAAAAAAATAATCATTTTTTTTCAATCACTTGCTTTCATTATACTATTCCAATTATCACCTGTTGCAACACGAAATAACGTAAGAAGAGCTATGGCAAAATTTTTAAAATTTGCATGCTTATCAAGACCACTGCATGGTTGTTCTTCACTACATTCTAATTTTCCAAATAATTCAACACCAAGTGTAGCAAAGATAAAGAAAAGAAGAAAAAACAAAAGACCCTATTTTAAAAAGAATAAAATAAATTCTTCAAAAACGACCAAATAATTTGATTTACCAAATTTCCAACTTGTGGAAGAGCTTCAATAACAGTATCTAATAGAGCTCGAACACCTTTGGCTATTTTCAGTAGTTTGAGTACTGAAATACAAAAGAAAAAAAAAATCTTCTATTCCATTTACTCTGTTCATTTACCTCGTGCAATTCTCAATACTCTGATTACACGAATAAGTGTAGGATTTATTGGAAGAATATGTTCATGTAATATGTTTTCCATTACAATACTAGCTATTGATAAAAGTACAATAAATGAATCCAATTGATTCCATCTTGAAAACAAAATAAAATAAACAACAAAATCTCAAATATAGTTTTTCTTTACTTGTCTTTAAAATAACGTGATGGTCCAAGTGCAACAATTTTCCATATAAATTCAAGTAAGAATACAACCGTAAATACATAATTACAATATTCAAGAAACTTATTCAAGTACTAAAAATAAAATGTTTTGAAAATATAAACAATTACTAAATCATTTTTGTTTTTTTGCTTACCAAAGGCATAGAATAAAATTCAAGTGACATTGTAACAACATTAAAACCAATAATAGCAGCAATAAATAAATCAAAATATTTATTAATGCATAGATCATGTAAACGTTTACGCCATGGTGAAAAATGTGCATAATATGGTAATTCATGCATAAGACGTCGTTTACGTTGAATTTTTTTTGCATGTTTTGCTTTTTTTCGAGCTTCTTCTTCACGTTCTTGTTGGGCTCGACAAGTATGAAAATTTTCAATAACAACACCAACAAACATATTAAGAACGACAAAACTGACAATTAAAATATATGATATAAAATAAATTAATTTTGCTTCATTATAATTTCTTATTGGTTGCATATCAACATTAACTGCATCAATACCATTATACATTATTTGTACCCAACCATCTTTTGATGAAAGAACAAATAATGTTAGTAGAGCCTAAATACAAATAAACAATTGTCTAAAGATTATCTTAATTACAAAAGTATACTTGATAACATACTCGACCCAAATTATCAAAATTATATTGTTGATTTAGCCATCGATGATCGGATAGAGCTTCACATTGTTGTCTTGTTATTATATCACGAGCGAGAGGACCTTCACAATAGTAGAATTTACCTTTGAAGAGCTGAAAAGAAATTTTGAAAGTAAATAATGAGATCGAAGAGAATTGTGAAAACGCATAATGAATCTTATGAGAAGTCGGATGTGTATGTGTAGTTCGATCAAACTGACATTTAATGTTTTTTTTAGTTTGAGAGCTCGAAAAACAGATACGAACAAAGCTCTCTTATTTCAGTTTCATCTATCTCTGAAGTATGAAACGTATTCGGGAAACTATTTAAACCGAAACACAATGTCTGAAAAAATTGATTTCTAAATTTTGAATAATAGTCACTTTTCAGAAAACAAGAATTTCTTCAATATATTCGTATGTGAAACTTTAAAAGTCGCGAAAAATGAGTAGAATATAACTTTTGACTAGATTTCTAATATACTTCAGATGAGTATCGAACTTTATTTAGAAGAATCAAAAATCATTTTTATTATTGCCGTAGCATTTTGAAGTTTTTATATGTAGCTACCATTACTCTCTTTTACCTGAACACCAAGAATGCCAAAGATGATAAAGAATACACAACAAATAACAACAATATTACCGATTGGTCTCAATGATGCAAGTAAAGCTTGAACAACAAGTTTAAGACCAGGTGCTCGATGAATAACTAAAATGATAGAATGAAAAAAATCAATCGAAAGAAAAGAAAAAAGAAAAGTTTTTTTTCGAACTTGTAAGTGCTCGTAATGTTCGTAATAAACGAAAGACTCTCAACATGCCCAGAATATGTGATGTTATATCCGACTCTGTAGATGACATAATACTACCTCGATTCATTATAGCAATATCAACAATTGAAATAACTACAAGAAATCCATCCATAACATTCCAACCAGTATGTAAATATGTATTAGGTCCAAAAATAAGTCCACTTGCAATTACTTTAATCATCATTTCAATAGTAAAAATAGCTGTAAATATATAAGCAGTGTAATTCAAAAATTTTCGTTCCTGCAATATAATGGCGATTATTAACGTTTAATTTGAAAATAAAAACTAAGCAATTACATACAAAACTTATAGGAGAAATTGATGGACGTTCCATACCGAGTGTAACACAATTGAGAATAATAAACAAAAGAATTAAATAATCAAATGATTTTTGTGCAATTAATCGTTGAAACATTTTGCGTAGTCTACCAGAAGAAATGAAATCACAAATTTTTCTATTGGAATATTTCTCAGAACAATATATTACCTATTCGAAGGTGAAAAAAGATAAAGTGAATAGTTTTCTTGCTTCTTTATACATTCAAATATTCGTTGGCGACAAATCCGACTTAAACACGATCCAGTTCCCTAAAATAAAATAGAATTGATGTAAAGAAGAGAATAAAATTATATATATTCTTTATTAATTTTATTTTTGATAATTTTTTTTTTCACTCAGATCAATCATACTCGATCGGTAGATTGATTATCTTCAAAAATGTTGAACTTGAATCCGATCACCAACAATTCAGTTAGCTGAGAAAGTAATAATGAATCTTTTTTTCAAATAACTATTTCCTTCAAAATGAATTGAAAATAAAAATCAATATATTTACTCCTGATTTTTGAATTGGTAATTCTAGTTGTATAGTACTATTAGCATTAGATTCTGTATGTCTATCATTGCTTTCTTGTATTCTTGATGGTTGATAAATACTTATTGATACATTTTGATTAAATAAATATGATGAATTATCGATCGTTGATCGACGTTTAACAATTTTATTTAAATCAGGATTTGTTATATTATTGGATTCTTGTTCAATTAAATTTCCTTTCTGAACAATAAAATATCGTGTTGATGATAATGGAAATGATCGATTAGAATTTGTATGACGTAAAGTACCAGCTAATATATCTTGTTGTCGACCAGTTTTCGTATTAATACTACTGTGTTTAATATTTGTCGATTCATCAAGATTCTCAGATGTTTGAATATTACCTGTGAGAATTGCTTGTGTCTGAAAATAAATATTTCTTAAAGATATTACAATTTGCATTACATTTTATATTTTTTTTACTTTAAATGGATCTGCTTCGTCTAATCTACCTGTACTATTACTAATATTTGTTGTACCATTGTCTCTCTACATATAATAAAATAATGACTAAAATATTTTTGAAAAAACAACGATTAATTTACTTCATTTGGAAAACTTTCAACAAGAATAGCAACAAGTAAATTGAGTAAAATATAATTACCAAATATCATAAGTGCAATAAAATATAATGCTGACCATGGACTTGTCTTTTTCATCCCATTATAAAGTACTTCATTCCAATCTTCTTGTGTTAGTATCTATTTTATATCATATAAATTAGAATTATTCAAAAAGATAAATGAAATGGTTAATAAAAGAAATATCTTTGCGTTAAGAAGACGCAAAACAATAAAACTGAGAATCGGGAAATAATTTTATATATTCAAGAATGAACAACAAAATTCTATTGATTAATATTTAATGATACCTGAAATACAGTTAATAATGCAGAACGAAGTGAATCGAAGTTTGCTCTATCTTGTATACATGTTGAATCTTTGAGATTAGTAGAGTTTTTAAATAAATTCCATTCGACACATGCACAACAACGACATTTCATATCAATTTGTTCATGTGATGTTCTATTGAATGCTTCAAGCGTGCAAAATTTACCACCAAATAAATGCATACCAAGAACACTATTCAAAATTCGAGGAGAAAACAAAACAAAAAAAAAAAAACTCAATTAAAATAACGTATGTATGTATATGATGAAAAAAAAGGCTATATATCTGCAGTTTTTCTCAACGGCCTGTTTGCTGTATGTTACTCAGATATACCTTAGCAATTTACTATGAAAAATATTTATTTTTCTTTAAACTTACCTGAAAATGAATATAAAGAGAATTAATAATAATAAAAATGCTGCAACACTGTCCAATGTTTTAACCATAACAACCTAGATAACAAACAACAAGATACAGAAACAATCGTTTAAGTATATATCCAGAAATTTGAACCATCTACTCCACACATATAAAAATTTTTGTCCACTATTTTAGCAGATCCACTGTGGTCAAACTTTTTCTTCGTTGGCTATAACGAGTACAAAAGAAAGTATACGCTCATATATAAACACTCTTTCGTTTTTAGGTTTCAACTACTTCACAAATGCACAATGATTTGACGGTTGTTCATGGACGATATTATATGTTATACAATACAGTTGCTCAATGGATTGAACGATTTTCAGATGAGCGAAATATCTTTGGAAGATAAATCTCGAAGTCGATTTAACAAAATAATGATACTTTGAAAGATACAATGCATGATGGTTTCACATATTAGTATTGATTATAGATAAGTATTCATAAATTTACTAGCAAAAAAAAACAATGAGGTTTTTTTTGAATCGTCATTGAATATTTATATAACCTGTTATCAAGTATTTTTAATAAAAAAAAAAATATCAATATGATGTTTTATTACTATATTCAGTTATTTTAAAGATGAGTGTGATCCATATACAGATGCTATCAATTTAGCTACAATAATAACCGAGAAGCTCATCACGAATAGCAAAAAAACACTCAAGAATTGAATTCAAGGGATAAAAATTTGTATCGTACATCATGGGAATGATTTCGAATATTTACTGTAAATAGATTAGCAAAATTCATCTTTCTATGAGTAACTATTAGAAAGTAATTGAACTATTTGACTACCCTATGTAAAAGTATGTGTGCATCCTGGAACACTCTAGATTTTGGAAATTATTAACGTGCAGACATCTTTGCTATCAGGACCTGATGAAGTCACAGATTGAACTGAACATGAGTATCATTATGTTTGTTTTTGTGTTTATCCTGATGGGAGATTTCTTTGTATTCTTGTTAAAGCGAAGCCCTTATAAATTTTGTCTAGTTAATTCTCAAATCAATCGCTAGAAAATGATGTAAATGCTGTCATCAACAGAGATCTCCATCGCGGCTGAAAATCTGCCGCTGTCGCGCCGCGGCCTTAGAGAAAAAAAGCTTGCGCACCGCTGCCGCGCCGCGACGGTTTATAAAAAAATGTTGCCGCGACGCTGCCGCACCGCGATGACTTATAAAAGAAACGCTGCCGCGACGGTTTTCAAAAAAGTGTTTCTAATTTCACTGCTGTGACTATATTTGACCAGAGATATGGGTACTAGTTCATCAGATTTACTCAATATCAGGGCGTTTCATTTGTAAATCCTGAAATTCTATTAAATTCATGCAGTTTTTCAATGTCCTCCAAGAAAAATTCTGCCGCTGCCGCGATGGTTTTTTAAAAAACCTGCCGCTACCGCGGTGATTTTTTAAAAAACCTGCCGCAGCGGTGCGGCAGCGGCAGCGCCGCGATGGACATCTCTGGTCGTCAATGATAAAAATACAATCCATATGCAGCTATCTTACATGACCATGTACGGCGCTTTAACTTACCAATTGTCGTCTTAATGTTGGCATAAATCGGACAAGTTTAAGTACACGTAATAATCTAAACGTACGTAAAACAGATAATCCACTATTTTTTGCTCCATATAATTCAATAAGACTAATTAATACAATTCCACCATCAAATAGATTAAATGGATTTTTAATATATTTTAAACAACCTTTAGCAATGATTTTAAATAACATTTCAATTGTAAATAATATTATAAAAAACGTATTGCTATATTCCAATATATTTGTTAGTAATTGTGGTTGTCCATGATATTCAACAGACATTGAAAATGTATTCATAATAATAGCTGAGAAAATAATACGATCAAAATATTTACTAGCAACAAAACGTGATATTAATTTTTTTATTATTGTAAAACATGAACAACAACAACAACAACAAATTTCACTTTTTTGACGAAATTTTGATTTTTCTCTCTCTTCTTCTTCTTGACTATTCTCGAATGTATTAACAATTTCATCTTGATAATAACAATCACATATGTCATTTCTTTCTTTTTGTTCTTGTCGTTCAAATTCAAAGTTTTCATCTTTTCGTAGATTTTTTTCAATAAGTGAATTATTATTTGCTGATGTTGAAGTAATTACGTCTGGACTAATATCACAATTACCAGTGCCATAATCAATCGATTTGGATAATGGTGTTAATACTAGTAATGATTGAGATTGATGATGTCGACAATTTGATCGATGGTTTTGATTGATTAGTGGAGTTGACGAGATTATTTTGTCATCAGTTGTAGATAATACATTCGATGTTAATATCTTTTTTGGTGTTGTTACGTTTCGATGATGTCTTTGATTATTCTTTGACAAAAAAACAAAAACAGTTATTGAATTTGATTATTTCTTTTACATGTACAAATATCAATTAAAGTCAAATAGTTTTCGAAATTGAACAAAATTTTTTCGATAGATCTATTTTCTTTTGAATGTAATTTAAATTCTCTAGTGCACTTGATTATTTTTTCACAATTGATTATCATAGGTAGAAAGCCTTTTTTAAAGTTCTCACCAAACAGAACTCGAATTGGAAAACTTTCGTTCGGTTTAGTTTTTGATCGATACTGTTGAAACAATTTTCTAATCGATATAATTACTGATCCAATAGCCAATCAAAAGAAGTAGATTTGCAAGCTCTAGCTAATTGCCGACGACTCATAGTGGATTTCTAAGATGTGAACGACTGAAATTTAATACTATCTTTGAGATGAAAATTTCTTCTAATCTTTTTATACTTACTTTATCATGTTTTTGTCGACAATATTTCCAGCATGTTTCAAATCGTTTATATACACGTTTCAATAATCTTTGAAAATATTTAATTATTTCTTCCCAACAAGAACCTTGTTGTTCATTTGTTAATGTAGTTGTTGAACGTGAAAAACGTTTTTGTTCAACTAACATTTTTTCTGTTTCACGTTTTTTTGTTATACTAAATTGTGTAGAAATAACAGCAAGACAAAGATTCATCATAAAAAATGAACCAATGACAATAAGACATACAAAATAAATCCAATCCCAAAATGAATGTGCATCTTGTATGTAATACATTATACTAATCCAATTTTCAAGAGTAATTATCTAAATAAATAGAAAAAATGTGAACATAAAAATATTTAAGGAATAAATAAGAAACGAACTTGAAAGATAGCAAGCCATGATAAACCAATATTATCGAAACTAATCGATCCAGAAAATGGATTTTTATCAGAAATAGCACATAATTGATAATATTGATTCCAATTAATACATCCATTTATTGTTTTATTTGTTAATGATGAAGTCAATGAATGAATATCAAGTTTACATATCATATTATCTTGACGAAATTGTGGAATTTCTGAACATTTTGTCATTCCACTTGATGATGAATCAGAACAAATAAATGAATCTTGATCAGAAGGAATGTAAAAAGATTGAAAAGGAAAATCACTTAAAAAAACAAAAAAGAAAATAAACAACGAAATATTTAGTTTTCAATAAACATACTCGAATATTGCATAATGATCTATAATTGTACTATTCAGTTGTAAAAAACAACGATTACGTAATAATCCTTTCCATAATTGTACACCAATAATACCAAAGATAAAAAAGATAAAAAAACAGAGTAGAAGTACATTCCCAAGCATAGGTAATGTATCGAGAAGAAGCATAACAAGAATACGCATTGATGGTACACGATTAATGACACGTAATGGACGAAGTACTCGAACTGTACGGATAGCTGATAGACTTACATGATCACCTGGTATCAAGAATTCCACTAATCTAAACATGAATAATCAATAACATTTTCTTTGTCATCTTTACACTGATTTATCTCTTATAGATACGAAAATATTCATTTCAAAAAACTTGATCTTGTCATAAAAATTAGTTTCAGTATATCAAGATAAAAGAGTAAAATTAGAAATTGAACGAATTATCTAGAAAGACTTTTTAAAAGTTCTACATAAAAAAATGTTCGTCATTTGCAATGATTTTAATAGTTAAATTCATCAAATCTTTGATCCATTTTGTTAAAGAAAATTTTCAGCTTTTTTTTTCTGTTTAAAACAAAAGTTGATGTGATCATACCCAGTAAGAACAATGAAACAATCAAGTTGATTCCATGATTCAGCTAGATAAGTTCGTTTACCAAATATTCCCATTGCTATCATTTTAATACACACTTCAATGGTAAAAAATGCAAAAACAAAATAATCTATTGCTTGTAGCCAAATACAAAGTGTTGTATCACATTTTTTCGATAATTCTATATTAGTATGATGTGCACATGGCTGATACATGCCAAGTGTAATACAATTAAGTAAAATAACAATGATACTTATACGTTCAAACCATGGCCATGTTATAAGTTTTAAACATTGATAACGTAATGGTGTTGTTTGTCGAAGACAATAAAAAGCTTTTTCAACAAAACCGGGAAATAGTAATTTATTTTCAACTCTTTCTTCAAGATTACATGAATCTGGTAAATCAGATAAATTATTTGATGAACTATGTTCATTAAGAAAACGATCAGTTTCATCCATATGTGAATCTTCTTTAGAGATATTAATAACTGTTGGTAATGATGTATGAAAAATCTTTTTATTCGTTATATTAATATTATTATTGGCAGTTGTCAAACGATGTTTATTCATGATCGAATCATGACTGTTACTGTATGATCGATATGGAATGGAAGGTAACGATGACCAACATCGACAAGTATCTAGAAATGAAGAAAGTATTATCTCTATTTAACCTTAACAAACTAGATCTATGTTATCATAAATTGTTTCACATCTCATCAATTTCAAACTTAATTTTCCAATGTAGATATATGTCAACATAATGCTCATTAAATCACAAAAAATAATATACAGGTGTCCTAAAAATATGAACGAGAAGTAAATTCCTACAATTTTACTATTGATCAAACTGATAGGAATTTTTTGTTCAAGTTTTTACGACATCTTCCTGTAAACGTGTGTGTTTATAAATAGCTATGTTGCACATTTCATTGAACTACTGACAGTATACCAACAGTAAATAAGTATCCAATGCATTTTCTTTGAACTTGACTTGATAGCAGAAAAAGTTTCTATAACTTTTCCTCTAATTCATGTACCCTAAAAAAACTTTCTTGAATCGGCTCGTGATTGAAATTGTAACTATTTTTTCTTATCGAACAAAAGCTGACAGCTCACTCTCATGATTTCTAATAATATATTTAAAAGATTACCTTTGAAAATTGTTCTATCAGGAAGACAAGCGTCGAACTCTGAGACGACTGATGGTAGAGGTTCATTGACTTTGATGAATTGCGTTGTAATATTATTGGACAATGATGGTAATGGTAGTTGTTTTCTATCCACTTTTCCTTTTGCATTCAACGGGAATTTATTGAGAACAACGAAATAGGATGGAATCATGTGTTTATGAAGATGATCTTTGCAGTAATTTCGAATAGATTCAGTGTCAAGCTGTGAGTTATCACTGATGATATAGGCTACGAGTAAATCGTTATCTTGGGATAATTTGACCACGAGACAGTTGGAGATCTCATTTGGACAGCAGGCTATAATTGTTTTCTCCACCTCAGCTGTTTCTATTCGTTGATTATCAATTTTTATTTGAAAATCCACACGTCCAACATGGACAAGTTCACTTTTTGCATTGTATAGAGCGAGATCACCAGTTTTGAAAAATTCTTCATTATTGATTATTACTCGAGTCTTACTAGTCAACTCTGAATTGTTGTAATAACACTGGAAAAGACCAGGACCTGTAAATATGTGGATAATAAAATTTCATAATCTTTAGAATCGAAGAGATAATACCTGCAAGATAAATTTGACCAATTCTGTTTGTTTCCAATGATGAAATGACTTCTCCATCGATGCTTTCATCCACAAGTAAACATCGATATTTCGCTAGTGGAAAACCAATAGGTACAATACTTAAATCTGTAAGTTCATCGATGTTCTCTTCGATTTCTCGCCCTATAGCAGCATTTGTTTCACTCATGCTGAATATTAAAAAGATTCGTGTTTGCAGAGAAAAAGACTTGATTTTCACCAGATATTGTATTTTAGGAGATTCACCCGATATCCATAAGATGCGTACTCGTTTAAATATTTCATTACGTTCTATATTGTTCAGCTCGAGGTAGTCAAGCAATACTTTAAGCAATGACTGATTGATAAAAAGAACGGTAATTTGTTTTTCTTCGATAGTTTTGCAAAACCGAGTCATATTCAAATTATCTCCAGGTGGTAAAAGCACTAGTGTGCCTGAAGGAATTATCACCAGTGGCATCAAAATTTCAAATAGATGAATGACCCACGAAGATGCAACTACTTGAACAACTTTATCACCGTGCTTGGTGTCCCAAATCATCAGATTATGAATACCTGCTATAAGAGATACATGTGTATGTACAATTATTTTTTGTCGACCAGTTGTACCAGATGTACAAATAATACAACTTGGACTGTTACACTCGACATACATCTCTGCACAAAAAATAAAACATGTGCATGTGAATTTGTTCAAAAAAAACAAAGAATTACTTTTCTCTGCAACTTCTTCTGTCATACCAACTAGTAAAATATGTTCAAGACTGATCATTTGAATTTGTTTACTAATCGTATTTGAGAACAAATCACGTGTATTTTCATGAACGAGAACACATCGGCCTTGAATTTCATCAGTCAATGCACGAACGTACATAGGTGGATCAGTAGGACTTAGTGGACAATATGCACCACCAGCACACATGATTCCCAATAATCCACATACCATCTCTAAACTACGATCAACATATTGGTAGACAATGTCACCTATCTCGATTTGAAGATGACGAGCAACATTGATCACATTCATTAGTAGTTCCCCATATGTCCATGTCTGTTCATTGAACTCGATTGCTATCTGCTGTGGAGAGGCAAGTGCTACTTCAAAAAACATTTCGAGAATGTTTTTTGACGAGAGCGCCATAATAGAAGTTAATTTACAATCTACAAAACGTATTGGAGAGAGAGAGCGCATTTTCACAAGACAACAGTGAATATGAAAGAGAGAGAAATTGAAATAATAATAATAATAATAAATATTGACAAAAAAGCTAACTAAAACAAATTCATATTTCTACAGGAAAAGCACCTCTGTTTTTCATATTTATATGTATCCTAAACTAAAACTAAATCTATTCCCATTTCTGCAGAACAGTATATATGTATCTGTAAATTATAAATAGAATGAAGTAAACCTATATCATTAGTTAAGAACATTTATGTTTAGTTTGTTTTTGAAATCTTCATCTATATTCGAACTCAAATTAGACAGCTATGTCAAGAACATCCTAAAAAAAACTCAAACAAGATATTAAATCATACGTACATACGATGACGGAATACCATGTGCACAATAGTACAAAACTCATTTACTTTCATTCATTTGAGTAGTAAAAGAGACAGATAATAGCCTTCATTTAATCATAATAAGGCAAATAGAAGTGAGACACACATGGCCAATTGTAATATGCAAATAACTTCGCTTGACTAGAGACAAGAAGAGAGAAATGAGCAAGATAAATGTGAAACACATAGGAAAAAGACAAACAGAAGAGAGAACGCAGTATTGGATGATATTGTTATGTACATTTTTCTTCCTGTGATTGAAAAAGTGACAGATAAGCAAGGTAAACCGTAATAGTGTGAAATACGGGTATTGTGCTGAAAGAATAGAATATAATAATCATAATAATTATCAAAAATACCTTTACCTTTCGATGTATAGTGAATACCAAAACACAACAAATAGTTTAACAACAAGAAAAGATAAATTCTTAATCATCGATGTTTATTCGAAAGCAATTTCCAGAAATTATGAGTTTGATTTCGATAGTTCTCGTCATGAGACTCAACTTTTTTTCCGATAAACGATGTCTGGTCGAAATAATTTGAAATATATATTTATGTTAATGTACTTAATAAAAGAATAATAAGAAAATCCAGAGTTCACTTCGTTGACACGTGTCATGTTATTTATTGAATAATAATGAAACATTCATTACGGTTCTGCACTATACAAAAACAATAAAAAACTAAAGAACGAATAGAAAAATGTAAAATAACAGATTAGATTGATATTAGAATAAAAATAAAAATGAAAATGAAGCCGGTGATTGGTTGTCTTTTAAAGATTCTAAAGTTGAGGGTTGAATAATGTAATAGGAGCCTTAGAGACATTGTACTTGAACCAATTATTTAAAGTGATTGATATTTCTTGATTAATGAGTGGCTTTATTAAGGAAATTATACTAATTTCGTATTTTAAAACCATTTATTATTTCATAGTTGTAGTTTAAACTTGCATCGAAGAACCATTCTATCAAGTTTAAGCTATGTATTAGTAGGTTAATCGTGTAGGAAATGTATTAAATATTTGGTGTTTTTTGAAAAATAACTATCATGTAATATTAATAAATTTTATTTAATAATAATCATAAATTTAATTAAACGTTGTTTTAACAATCATATATGTACTGATGCGGATGGTCTGATTAATATTTTTTGATGTTTCTTCTGTTCATAAAATTGGATTAGGAATCAAATTGTTGAAAGTTTTCATATGTAAGATTGTGTATTGTTCACCGAAAATCATTTTGAACTTCATTAAAGAATTCGAAAGTTATTTTACATTTTATGGACGAGTGTTATATATGCTACTTTTTTGATATCAGTATCATATCGATTAATCTTTTATAATAACAATCTGTATCAGATTACATCAATTGATGACTTGAGTATTTATAGACGACTTATGCAATTAGATAGTAATCTTCAACAAAATATTGAAGTAATAGTATATAATATTCTGTATTTATATATTGCATTTCTGTAACGTTTTAGAAGATAAGAAGTAATATAATTTGGTGGACAGTTCAAATTTTTCATAATCTTCAACGCAATATCGAAGATTTTGAACTTTAGATTTATATAATAACAAAAGTCATTTGTATTTTACATTTGGAAGATAAAAAAAATGTAAACTCATTAATAGATTTATTTTTGTTTTATAAATCTAATTGAATTATGATAATATACTTGATAAATATTAATGCTATAATACGGTTATCCCCTATGGAAAATCATTTTTTTTTGTCAATCAGTAGAAACTGTAACATTAAATTTAATACAAATAATAATTTTAATAATTAAATATTCATTAGTTTTGTATGTAGTAATCGTCTTGGAAGATTATTAACATTACATGTACTATGAATCAGTACAACTTTATTAACCGGAGACTCTTCAAAATATTTCAACCAAAATGCAAAAGGTATATTCTTTTTTACAAGTATTGTTTGGATACTATTAAATGGTAAATAATATGGTTCATAAGAGGGCTCTGGATAAATTGCACTAAAAAGTTGACCAACTTGATTTTCTATATGAAGGTCAAGAAAATCAGCAGTTAAATTCCTATTGGGCCGAAAATTTAATGTTTTCATTGAGCCTATTCGATCTGTCGATATGTTTACATAAACATCGCACAGATCAAGTATTATCAAGAAATATATCATCAATGTATCTGATATATTAATCACCACTGTTCCTGACTTGTTTAACTATATCTTGTTCGTGTAAGAACACATAGCGATTGGCAACAGTTAAGGGTGAGTGGTGATCCCATAGATACGTAGGATATCTTAGGTTCATATTCGAGTATATTTAGGGCCGATTCGCCCAGAAGAATGTTCCAACAAAAGTAATCGGTGTTTCAAATGCAATTCGATGAGCTATATTCAATGGTGCAAACTGCATGTTCATAGATAACTATGTTCTCGAGAAAATGCGCTGATACTAGATCCAACCAGCTTATCTCCTCAGCATTTGGGCTTTTTCTCGAAAATCGTGGTATCTATGAAGATACAATTTTCACTGTTGAATAGAGTTGGTTGAATTTCACTTAGAGCATCAATCACTTTAGTTGGAACGTTGTTTGGGACGAATCAGCCCAGGAAATACGAACTTGAGGGTCTATGCATGTGTGCATGGACGCACTTAAAGAATAAACAACATCGATAGCTACATTTACACTCTCATATCCACACACATTCCGTTGATGAGCGGCTCTTTGCTTAATTTTTTCATATCAGAGATCACAGGCAAGGGGGAAAACGTTGACTGTTTTTTTATTTTTTATCAATTTTAAATTTTAAATACTTTGTTATAATGTAAGCCTGTAGGTACAACTTAGTTGTAAACGAAGACGAGTCGTACATTTAGAGGATGTGATCTATCATAACAGTTACAAAAAAAATGATCTCTTCAATTTTTCTGTAGTGTTTGATTACATTGGATTAGTAATTGAAAGCTAACGGAAAATCAAAAAAATCAAGTGTTTGCTCTTCATTTTTCTATCAAAAGTTCAGTTTAATGAAAAGAAATATATTAAATCCAACTCTTTCGCCTTTGATCAAAAGCCTATGGGTTTGCTTTTTCTTTATGACAAAAAATTTCGACATCCAACTTGAATACGTTGTCATGTGAGCGTATTGCTGCACATTTTCTTATTGTGGCGGCATGAAATGTAAAGGAAGAAAAAAAAGACGTCTAAGGGAGGAGCATGGTGAAAGAAGCGCACACATGCAATGATGAGTGCATTCTTACCCAACCAACTATATACTTTATGCAAATTTCATATCTCATTTTTGCGTATAGAGAGACACAAGTTGGAGAAAAAAACTGGCGATTTCATCATCCATAAATACGTAGCAAAACTAGTTGCAAATGCGTATAGAACAAAATTCACCATTGCAATATCATTTGGCACGTGAGTACCCATGTAGATGAGTAAATGTTTGAATGGTGTTTCAATTTGTTCGTATAGAAACAAGCTTTAACGCATTTTAATGGCTGGATTAAAAATACTGTAATGTAATTGGAATAAAAATACTAGAAATGTTGTTAAAAGAGAAAGGTCCGATACTTTTCTGTACTTAATAGCAGATAAGGAAAGTAAAAGAAAAAGATTGGTATAAGAAGCGGAGAAAAAATTAATTTTTTTTCATATTTAGAAAGAAGTATTTGTTTGATCAGATAATTATCATGAATAATTTCGATCGATGATCCATGTCGTGTTCCATAGAGCGCATATGTGTATCGGTAAATACGATCATTTAGAGACAATGTGTCGGTACTATTTCAAATTACACGTAATTTCAAAATTAGTTGTATACTTTGAGACATTTTTCTTCTAACAAGAGTTCATTTCATGTAAGAATACTACCACTAGAACATCTACATATTTAATCAGGTACATAGGGAACAATTTCTCAGTAGTTATGACGTTACGTTTGTATAAAACCAAAGTCTTCTTGCGTCATATATGTTTACAACAATCTTGGTAAGGTACTTATGTTTTCTTTTTGATATTGTTAGAAAATAATACATAACGGAGATGAGAGAACAACGTATTGTAAAGATGAAAAGTGATAGTAGATGTTGTATTTTTCTTGAAAACGTCAGAATGCGAACTGGTATTCAATGCTGAATTCGTATGAGGTATTCCTAACATATTTTTCCTGTTCTCTAGAATCTATTTTCTATTTTACAGTTTGCAAAACAAAGGCTTTTATTTAAAAACTTATGCGTTCTGATGTTTAGCCCCTCGGCTTATATTTATCACAAGTTCTCCCGAACGAATTAAAGAGATTTTTTTTTTCTGTAATAGCTGGTAAAGTGTTTGACGACGTTTCCTTCAACCGATCTCGACGCATAAGATCCGAAGGTACCTGAAAAGATAAAGCGAACTAACTCTATAGAGCAGTATATTGGTTTTTTTGTCGCAGACCTCTATCTCAAAATACAAGAACTAAAACAATGACCATAACATGATTGATTTTCAACATAATGCACTCTTGATTTTTTCTCTACATGCTTTTTTTTTATTTTGAAATT